CTTGTTATCTCAGATTCTCCAGCATTAGCAGTTCCTACTATCTCTGTAAAATGGGAAAATCTATTTTTATCTAGTTAAAATTTCCAAACTTTTCAAAAAAGAAGTCAACTCATTGCCCTATTCAAGATATTTAGAAATAGAAATGGCATCTTTGTAAGAAATTTATTTCTCAGATATTTTGAATGGAGTTTTAAAACACCAAGCAATGGAATTTCATATGTAGAAAATAAGCATACATATATTAATATCACACAATATATGAGTTCACTGTCTAAGCTTTCATGACTGACTTGTGAGCATCATTGACAGAAGCTAGCATGGGGCAAAACTCCTGCCCTCTCATCAACAGAATGACATATGGTCTTTGGGAAAGTGATCAAGTAATTAAACTCCACCTCCACACCATATGGGAATTCATATGACCAGCCACAGTATTCAATAATTGAAAGACCATACATTCTTTGAAGTATGTATGATATTTTTCAATTTCAATTCACACGACAGAAAGACATAAACTTCTATAGCATGTACCAGAAAACTTGGTACTTTGCACCAGGGATTCACAACACAAACCTACCCAACTACTCATCAGTTTTGTTCTGTATTTTAAAATTCTGGATCAAAAAGCAGTAGCCAACTGATGTTTCAGAGTCACCAAGAACGTAAGCATTGGTCACAGGTCAATAGTTAGCATTCAGCCCATCGAGTCCACACTGACCCTCCAAATTGCGACCAACACCCTACCCTATCCTTGCAACCCTGCATTTCCCACCGACCCTGTACGTTTCTGAACAAAACAGGGTAATTTAACATGGCCTTGCCACCTAACCTGCACATCTTTGTGCTGTGGGAGGAAACCGGAGGACCCGGAGCAAACCCATGCATACACAGGGAGAATTTCTGTGTGCAACTTTGCACAATTGCCCAAGGCTGGAATCGAACCTGGGTCCCTGGTACTGTGGGGCAGTGGTGCTAACCACTGAGCCACTATGCTGCCCTTGCTTATTCCTATAGTGTGGTCAAGTTAGAAAGCTAGTAGCGCTGTAAAATTTCTCTTTAGAAATTACACAAAACTCGAAAAAACTGGCCCCTGATTGAAGAACTTTTGCAAATGGTTTATCTAACGTTGTACTTCTGACCTGAGTAAGTAACAACAGAACAAACTGACTTTCAAATCAGTATCCCAATGGTAAATGTCTGATTCAATTGTGTAAACAAGCAGAAAGGATGGATTCAGAACTGAAGGAAGTGAAAATTATTTTGTTGCAACAAGATGTTTCTCACAAATGTGCGCTTTTTTTTTGCAAAACAGTACCTCAGCATTGTCTTGGTGGTCCTATAGCCTTGGTATGAAGCCATTTTGTCTCGTATCATGTCATTATTTTCCTCCTCATAACCGCTATGCTCGGTCCATGCCAGGGCTGTGTGGGGCATCTTCATCTCATTTTCTTTTGGTCTCTGAATAACAAACAATAAAGTATAAAGTTTGTGAATTTAGGTTCAGAACAACGTTATCATTTTGTGGAGTGAAAAAATCAATTCTTCTGGTCATTGCGTTCAAGGCAGATAATACTGGGTCTGTAGGAGTCTCAATTATTCCCTCTCTGACATCAGGATGGAAGTACTGCTAGACTGTATCAAATATTTTGGTATAAACTCAGACATTAATGGGACCCTCAGTGCAAAACCCTTTATAGCACTGGTATGACAGATCCCATTTCTACACCAGCCAAGTGGCATTGTTGAGTGAGATAAGTAATGAATGTCAAATTGCAGATTTGCCAATTGACTTTTAGCCAAATTTTAGACATTTTCCAAACTCTGTTCTCTTTGACTATTAAAGCTTGCAGTGAGAGCGATTTTCAGGTAAGCTTCTTGGGGTGTTTTCTATGTCAACTTCAATATGCAAGTGTATATAAATCATCATTCTGCGCAAGGTTCAATCAAGGTCTTTGACGTGACAAGACCATGTGTTGATCTTATTTGCTTCGATCAGTGGTTCTCAAATTCTTCATCTGTGGATCAAGTGGGTGGGGAAAGACTCGTGGAGCACTTGCGCATCCGACAGTGGCCCCTCTCACTTGCCATTGCAAAGGTCCTCACCAAAATGAATGGGAAGGATGGTAATGATTTTGAGAAGACACAAATGAGACAATAGCTGCTTTCAAAGGGAGTGGTTCAGTTTCATAAACAGCAGGAAGTCCAACCTGCTTCTCTTGCTTTCAGTCTCAAGTGTTCAAAATCTGACCCTGCAGCCGTATGTTGTAATACTATAATGAAACAGCATTATTTATTGCCCTTGTGACAATTTGTGCCATGCACAAAGGATCTAGTTGGTTGCGTGACATCTCAAGTGAGGGATCTGGCCTTTTCTTTCAAATGGCTTCCATAGTGGCTTTGCAACTCAGTGACTTTACATTTTGGACCAAACACAGACCTCTTGGAGGAATTTTGTGGACTACCGTGATTCATGGACCACAAAAGGGAATTGAATAAGCACAGGAAGAGAAATTAATGTGCAGCATTATGGCGAAAAGGTGGCATCATGGGAATGGCTGAGTTGGTCTGAAGGAGAGATGGCATGGGCATGACAGGGCACATTGGATCTTTTTGTGCTGTAATCATTCTGTGGTGCTGGGAAAGGTATGATTACAGTTGTTACTGTGCAAAATACTAAGAATTCATATTTAGCTGTACACAAGGGCACATTCTGAAGATCTGAAACAGTTTTACACGTACACCTCCATGTTATGCTATTCAAGAACTGTAAGGGAATATATAGGCAGTATGAGCGCAGTCCTGAATGCAAGACACTCAAATACTTATTGGATTGATCATTACTACAGTACTCAAGAGATAAGGAAGACCAAAGTCATTTTAAAATAAGTCTCGTACTGTACCTTCTCGACTTCTAATTTTCGTCTCTCCTTCTCCATGCTGTTCAGGTTCAGTCGCTCTTTCTCTTCTCTAACGTATTTCAATCTTTCTTTATCATCAAGGTATTTCTGAGCTCTTTTCATCTCCTCCATCTCTCGTTGCTGTGTTTCACGAGCTCTCCGCTGACAATTTTCCTCCTCTTCCTCTTGTTCTCTTTGTTTCCTTTGGTACATCTTTCTTTCCTCCTCCTCAATCTGCCACATTTTCAGTTTACAAACACTTGGACCCTCCTGATGCTCCTGTCCCTTTCTGTCCCTCAGAGTGTAAGCACGATCTGTTTGTGATTCATCAACATGGTCCTTCTCCATCTGGCTCAGCTCCTCCCTGCGTTTCTGCCGACGCTCCTCTCGCCTCTGAGTCCAATCGCTAAAACCCTCGTCCTCATCCAGGGCAGAATTGGCTGATTTACAGTTGAAGTTGTACCTGCGAAAATCAAGACAAGCTGATTACTAAAGATTGCTCATTAGTAATGCTTGCCAGTTCCAAGTTTATCAGCCTGATGACCTATTATCATGAATGTATCTTTAAAAGCAATTTCAAACTATTCTATTTCACACAAATGAAGCATCCATGTTTCCTTCCTTTCCCTTAATTATTTCTCTCCTGAAGTGATTCATGCCGAAAAAGTCCTCTGAGCATTTCTGGACTTTTCAGACTCCACTAATGCGTCACACTTCATTTGTGACTGTGGCCTTTGCTAGAGTATTTGACCATGGGAGGCAGGTCATAGCTAAGCTTGATCATCTCACTTGACACAGAGATGCACGCAGGGGTCAGGCAGTGGTAAAGTAACTGAACAGAAATCCAGGATCCCAGGCTAACGTTCTGCAGACATGGGTTCAAATCAAACCATGCAGCGGATGGTGAAATTTGAAATCAGTAGAATCATCTGGAATAAAATGCCGGTTTAAACTGGAACAATGTAAGCACTGCCAATTGTTGTAAAAGCCCCTCAATTAACTCCACCTTTTAGGGAAGGAAATCTCCATCTGAATCTGATTTTGCCTACATGCGACTTCAAATCTACAGCAATATAGTTAACTCAATTGATCTCTGGGCAATTTACCAAAATTCACAGGACTCTGGGGTGGTTCCCGCAGATTGGCTGTTTTCCAATGTGTCGCCACTGTTTAAAAAAGGAAGTAGACAAATAGGCCAGCTTGCTTAACTTCGGTCGTGGGGAAAATGCTTGAATCTATCATTAAGGAAGAAATAGCAAGACATCTGGATATAAATTATCCCATTGGGAACACCCAGCATGAGCTCATGTAGGGTAGGTCGTGTTTAACTAATTTGGTGGAATTCTTTGAGGACATTACTTGCATGGTGGACAATGGGGAACCTGTGGATGTGGTGTATCTGGATTTCCAGAAGGCATTTGACAAGGTGCCACACCAAAGGCTGCTACATAAGATAAAGTTGCACAGTATTACAAGTAATGTACTGGCATGGATAGAGGATTGGTTGACCAATAGAAAGCAAAGAGTAGGGGTAAATGGGTGTTTTTCTGGTTGGCGGTCAGTGGCTAGTGGTGTGCCTCAGGGATCAGTGTTGGGACCGCAATTGTTTACAATTTACATAGATGATTTGGAGTTGGGGACTAAGTGTGGTGTGTCAAAATTTGCAGATGACACTAAGGTGAGTGGTAGAGCAAAGTGTGCAGAAGACACTGAAAGTCTGCAGAGGGATATAGATAGTCTAAGTGAGTGGGCAAAGGTCTGGCAGATGGAGTTCAATGTTGATAGGTGTGAGGTCATCCATTTTGGTAGGAATAACAGCTAAACGGACTATGTTTTAAATAGTGAAAAATTGCAGCACGCTGCTGTGCAGAGGGGCTTGGGTGTCCTTGTGCATGAATCGCCAGAAGTAGGATTGCAGGTGCAGCAGGTAATTAAAAAGGCAAATGGAATTTTGTCTGCCATTGCTCGAGAGATGGAGTTTAAAAACAGGGAGGCTATGCTGCAGCTGTATAGGGTCCTGGGGAGGCCACACCTGGAGTACTGTGTGCAGTTTTGGTCTCCTTACTTGAGAAGAGATATACTAGCACTGGAGGGGGTGCAGAGGAGATTCACTCGGTTGATTCCAGAGTTGAGAGGGTTGGATTATGAGGAGAGACTGAGTAGACTGGGATTATACTCATTGGAATTCAGAAGAATGAGGGGAGATCTTATAGAAACATATCAGATTATGAAGGGAATAGACAAGGTGGAGGCAGGGAGGTTGTTTCCGCTAGCAGGTGAAACTAGGACTAGGGGGCATCGCCTCAAAATAAAGGGAAGCAGATGCAGGACTGAGGTCAGGAGGAACTTCTTCACCCAAAGGGTTGTGAATCTGTGGAATTCCCTGCCCAGTGAAGCGGCTGAAGCTATCTCGCTGAATGTTTTTAAGGCAAGGCTAGATAAATTTTTGAACAGTAAAGGAATTAAGGGTTATGGTGAGTGGGCGGGTAAGTGGAGCTGAGTCTCAAAAAGATCAGCCATGATCTTATTAAATGGCGGGGCAGGCTCGAGGGGCCTACTCCTGCTCCTAGTTCTCATGTCAATTAGGGATGGGCAATAAATGCTGACCTAGTCAGCAAGCCCACATCCCATGAATTAAAAAAATATTTTCTAGCGGTTACTGCCTAACAGTATCAATGACTGAACTGTGATTTTTCATAGTGTGTAGATCTCATTACTAAGCTACATGTGTTCTGACATTTGGAAGGGTTTCCCTAACTGCCTGCCATGAACTTAATGTCACAATCATGGAGATCCTGGAGAGACGGCATTTACCGTGCATCTTTTTCAGGGTCTTTCTGGCCCTTCCTCTCATGTTATGGTAAATAAGCAAGAACACTCTGGCAGAAAACATCTGCAATAGAATCAGGCAGTGGATATAGTACAGGAGGAGGTCACTTAGCCCATTGTCCGTACAGATCATTTATGGGGAACTCACTCAGTGCCAATCCCCTGCCTTATTTGCTTCGCTCCGCAAATGTTTCCTTTTTAGATAATAATCCAATTCCACCAGGCTGACGTAGGAGGAGAGATTGACTAGGTTAGGATTGTTTTGGCTGGAGTTCAGACAAATAAGGAGGGATCTCAGTGATGTATAAAATTGTAACAGGACCAGACATGGTAGATGCAGGGAGGATGTTCCCAATGGTGGGTGTGTCCAGAACCAGGGGTCATAGTCTGAATATTTGGGGTAGACCATTTAGGATGGAGATGAGGAGACATTTCTTCACGCAAAGAGTGGTGAACCTGTAGAATTCATCAGCACAGGAAGTAGTTGATGACAAAACATTGAATGTATTCAGGAAGCGGCTAGATATAGCATTTGGGGTGAATGGGATCAAAGGTTATGGGGAGAAAGCAGGATTAGGCTATTGAGTTGGATGATCAGCCATGATCGTGATGAATGGTGGAAGAAGCTCGAAGGGCCAAATGGCCTCCTCTTAAACCTATCTTCTATGTTTCTATATTTCGAAAGCTTCAATCATCATCCTTGCCACACATTTAAGGCAGTCCTTTCCAAACCTTAACCACTTGCTGTGTGGAAAAGGTTTTGTAATGTTGCCATTCTTTCTGTTGCTAATTAAATTAAATGTGTGCCATCTGGCTCTCAATCCTTCCACCAGTGGAATAGTTTCTCCCAGCTACTTTACTCAAACTCCTCTTGATATTGAATAACTTGATGAAATCTCCTCCGAATGCTGTATGCTCCAAGGGGAATAGTCCCAACTCCTCATTCTTGGAAATATTTTATTAATCTTTTCTGCTCTCTCCCTTGTCTTCATGTCCTTCTCAAAGTGTGGTACAATGAACTGAGATCCAACACTCCAGTTGAAGCAGAACCACTGTTTCATCCATAATTAACATAACCTCTTTGCTTTTGTACTCAATCAATGCAATAATCAATAGAATCAAGAATGCCATATCTTTTATTTATCATGCTCTCAACTACTGGTCCCTCCATATCTGTACCTGCTTAAAATTGCACACTTTATATTAACACTCTTCATTCTTCCTACCAAAATGAATTAATTTGCACTTCTCTACATTAAATTTTATCTGTCACTTATCTACCCACTCTGCCAACCACTTGGTGGAATCTTAAAAGGGGCCTGAGTAACTTGGACTGTGATGAGATTTGCAGAATTGGTGATAGGCTTAGCATAGTATCAGGAGCATCTTGCTGCATCTTCAATGCATTTAGAGTACAGTGAAGCAAGTTTCTCACTAGGCAGTGTCAAGTTGCTAATTTGAGGATTATTGCTTGTTAATTGCCTTATTAATGGCCCACCTCAAGTCATTTAATATTCAACTTCCTGATTTAATAAATGCTCCAAATCAGCAAGATGTTAAGAAGCCTCAATGTGGATGTCAGAGCAGATACGTGTCGACTTCAGCTCACTGTCTGCTCCAAAGGACCTCCCTGTTGGACATGGGGCACCAACATTTTAGGGAATGTTCTGTCAACATCCAGCCAAATGCACGCCACATGCATGGATATTGGCAACTGACATGATCCAGCATCTAAGGGAATTGAGTACAAGCGTTAGGATGTCATGTTGCAGCTTTATAAGACTTTGGTTAGGCCACACTTAGGGTATTGTGTTCAATTTAGGTCACCACACTACAGGAAAGATGTGGAGGCTTTGGAGATGGTGCAGAAGAGGTTTACCAGGATGCTGCCTGGATTAGGGAGTATGAGCTATAAGGAGAGACTAGAAAAACTCAGGCTGTTTTCTCTTCAGCAGTGCAGGCTGAGGGGAGACTTGATTGAAGTCCAAAAAATTATGAGATGCATAGATAGGATTGACAGTCAGAATCTGTTTCCCAGAGTTGAAATGTCTAATACTAGGGGGCATGCATTTAAGGTTAGAGGGGGAAAATTCAAAGCAAACATGAGGGGCAAGTTTTTTTTTTACGCAGAGAATTATAGGAGTCTGGAATGCACTGTCAGGGGTGGTGGTGGAAGCAGATACAATAGAGACATTTATGGGATTTTTAGATAAGCACATGAATATGCAAAGAATGGAGGGATATGGACCATTGGCAGGCAGAAGGGATTAGTTTCATTTGGCGTCATGTTCAGCACAACATCATGGGTCGAAGGGCCTGCTCCTGTGCTGTACAATTCTATGTTCTATGACTCTCGTAGCACATTTCTGATCTACTTACAGGATGCTTTGGCACTCCAGTGCTGAACCTCAGGCCGCCCAGAACTTTCATTGTAATGCTGCAGCAACAACAGTTTGCATTCAGGAGACTGGGAACGTAGCAAAGTGCTCCATTATATTTACTCTGTAGTACTAGTACTTTGCTATAATTGTTCCTAAAACACTGGGAGCAAAACAGCACTTCTTTTGTGCCATTTACAATATTACTGGATCTGACATATCAAGGTCTCATGCAATGCTCAGGAGAATGAAAAGA